ATGCCGCTAAGTGCCGACCTATGTTTGTTGTTGAGCTTTGACTGGCAACCACTTCTTCTTTTTTCTGGTTAGGTGTTTATTCCTCTGTGGTTGGCATATGGTGTTATATGTGAGTCCTTTCCCCTTTACACATTGAATTACGTTTGTGTTTTTGAGACTGATGCACCTGCAATGTGGAGACTTAGAAATGTGCCTCCTTGAAGTGTTGATGGTAGTCAGCATTAGAGTTGCAACGATTTATAAATTAACTAGTGGGCTGACAACTATTTAATTGCTCAGAAACTAATCTGATAATTGATTAATCACTTTGAATAATATTTAAAGCCAAAAAATTGAAATTCTCTGATTCAGCCTCCTAAATGTGATGATTTCCTGGTTTCTTTACTCCTCTATGTCAGTAAACCGAGTATTCACTTTGGGTTGTGGACAGAACAAGACACTGAAAGATGTCATCTTGAGCTTCAGGAAACAATTATTAACATTTTATAGTCCTAACACCTAATACAATCGAAAAAGAAATCAACTTATTAATCGACGATGAAAATAATCGTTAGTTGCAGCCCTTGTCAACATAATACAATTTATCTTTGCAGCTGCATTTGTGAGTGTGTTTTAGGCTACATTCACATGACAGGGCTTAATGCTCTGTTCTAAGTTTTTTTCATCAGATCCGATCTTCTGCCTAGACCATTCACATTCATTCAACAACGACAGAAAACATCACATTTGTGAGACGTAGGCAATTTGGGAAAAAAGACAAATTCCAGTGCAAGAGTTCATCTCTTGAATTATTTGCAGCGGAGATTGGATGACAATTCCTCAAACATTGCGGATGAGCACGAGAAGACAAAGAAACGCAAAAGCCATGGCTATAACTCTATTAACAGCTATTTCTGGTAACACAAGTTCTGTAGAGATAGAGGTGCGGGAGAGGAGTCTAAAGTGGTGGAGCCACTAAAGTATTACTTGGAAAACTCTTCTTCTAAATTCTGCTATGACCGTTCTCACAGCCGTTGCATGGCCAGTGATCGGATATGTATCAGGTTTTGGACCACTTATGAAAGTGGCCGACATCTGATTGGGAAAGATCGGATTTTTATATTCACACCACTCTGAAAAAATTAAACATTTGTCACATGAGAGCAAAAATATTGTAAGCGTAGCCGTAGTCACTTGTGTTCTTTTGCCCATCACTTGTTAATACCAAGAAAGCCACAGCTTTTCCTTTTTAGAGGAGATAAGATGAAGAATAGTAAATTAGAAAAGAACAGTTGCAGTTTCAGATATGACTGTAAACCATAAGACACCTACTTCACTTAAAGGACAACTTCGGTATTTTTCAACCTGGGCCCTATTTCCCCATGTGTATGTGTGCGTATGATTCATGGGTACAACTCGTTCTAAAATTGGTTCAGTATTGAGGGAGATGGATGCAACCGGGAACCGCGAAACGAGCTAAAATGGTAACGGGGGCAAATGCATTCCGTATAAGTTTGCGCATTAAAAGTGCTTTTTTTTTTGCCACTGACCGGTTCAGATCGCCAGTGCTATGAGTGCTGTGAGCGGAGTCAGCTGTCAGTCAGTGTTAGAGCAGAGAGGGGGAGGGCTGCCCTGCTGGGTACTGTAAGTGAGTATGTGTGTATGAAGTGTGTTTTTCACCACTGACCGCTTCAGTGCTATCTCTGTAAATAGCATACTAACTTAGCCTTTCCCTTACCTCTGGGCTGTGTGATGTCACGAGCTTTGCTCCACTGTGTCTGTAGCTCTCTCTACTCGTGGGACAGCCGTTTTCTTGAGAAAGGTGTTTCGGGATTGGATGTCTTCTCTTCTTCGGCTGGCATCTTGGGAGAAGTGAGCACTGCAGACCCGATGGTCTGCAAGGCGCAGTGTCTGGAGAGGAGTGTTAGCACCATTTGTAGCACAACTAGCCACAACTTCAACATCTCGCCGTCCGACAAAGGCAGCCTATGAAAACTGTACGGGGTGTTGCGCAACATCCTGTTCTTGCGTTTGGGAAAAAGGCGCGTTTATTTGAGAACTCCAAAAACTCCCAGGGCTCAACAGTGCGAGCGTTTCACTCGCATTTGCGACTAAAAAGAGGTGTGTGCGAACTGTAAAAAATATTTAGGGGCACATGTGCGCATAAAAAAATCAGCCGAAGCAGCCTATATTTTTGTCAATAAAAAAATATGATAATCTAACCGCAAATGTTGGAGGAACTCCAGCCGCCTTCCCTCTTCCCTCTTCCCCGTGTGGCACGGTTATGGGCGGTTTTCCAAGCCACTGTCGGCACAATGAATATCGTGCGCGATGCCAAGGGTAGCGGTGCCGCTTTGTCTTTGCTGCCCTCTCCATAGACAAACAATGGGACAGCCAGCACAAAGTGGTTTTACAGCTGATCATGTGTAGAGGCCTTTAGGGACCTTTTCACACAGAGTGCGCAAAGCGCAGACCTCCGCCGACGAACCCAGTCATTGTGTATGTGCTACCGTGGCGCAAGAGCGCACCACTCTGCTGCCGAGCTGAGCGGCGCGCACCGCCAGCCTGCGCTCGAATTGAATTTTTTTTAATTTCACCGCAACGCGCTGTGACGACACCTTGGCGCCGCGTGTCCAATAGCAGAGAAGAGCCTGAAGTAGACCCGAAAGTGGTCACCATGGAGCTGTAGCTCCTGAACGAGCCTGTACTCCCCCAAATCCTGTCCTCTGCGCCCTACCCCGCGGTGGGCGCCGCGAAAGCTCTGTGTGAAAGAGGCTTAAGTCCTGCAGAGTTTCAGAGGACCTGGAGAATGTTTTAGGATAGTAATAACATTATATAGATAATCATATTGCAGAGATAATATATATAAGATTATTACATACATTAAAGACAAAATTAAATTGCAATACTTTTTCAAAACTTGATGATTTTACCTTTCTGTACATTTTGTATACAAATTCATTAAATAATTTTGCTTGTAAATGTCTATTTGCATCACGTTTATTATGGAAAACACATTATATGATCAATTTACATTGTGCCCCTAAAGTTCTTTGTGCGCTCCTTACTTTTTCAACTTAGGAGCACATGTGCTCCTTGGGAAAAAAGTTAGCGTCAAGCCCTGACTCTGGTAACACTCCAGGGGGTACATACACATGGGGAAATAGAGCAACAAGCTGTGAACACAGCACTGACAGTATTATCACCTTGAAAAAGTTGATATGGCAGACATTTCAACAAACTGTTGCCTATTTGTACATCCATCATACTCAGAGCATCATTATATTATTATTTGCTTTGAGTTATGTTTCTTTATATGTGCCAAATAATTTGCTTAAGAGATACTGTCATTTTCAAGACATGTTTTCTCTACATTTTTTCAGGTTATATTCCAAACACCACATGGGAATTTTTCTCATGAAAGGCCATCAAAACATATATTCCCTCAGATCTTCCAATAACAATTGCTTTGTGAGTAGGCGATAACAGCTATTGTATAATCACACTCATTTTAGACAATGACACTACTTGAAAACTTTAAATGCACTGATATCCAGTATTCCATTAATTTTAACCTCCCACACACATTTTAAAATACTAGAACTGTTGAAACAAGGCTAACAATGTATAAGTGTTTTGTTTTTTTTTGCTGGATTTAAGCAATTAATACCTACCATACACAAGAGGAATCTGCATTTGTGCACTGACTCAACATTTCACTTGCTACCAGCCTCCACTGGTTAGCTGCACTATTTTCATGGGAGAACACCTTGGGAATGAGAGGCAAACTAAAATTAAGATTTCTCACTAAAGTAATTGTGAGTTGGTGGATCAGAGACACGCTGCATTAAACACTGACCCTTGTTCACTCCGCAACTCAACCAGTTTCTCCTTTTAAAGAACCAATGACTTGTTCATGTTCTTGTGCTTCCCTCCATGTTTACTGTCCACCTGATTAGCTGCTTCCCATTTTGTGCTGGAGAGAATGCACCTATTGGGTGTTAACAATGTTCACGTCATTGAACTTATGATAAAACTAAACATGTTTTATTTTATCAGAAAGTCAAGATGAGAAAAAGACTGACTTCCCAACAGCAGTTTTATGACCACGTTACACCGAATGACAGAGATCACACGAGCCAAACTGTCATGCTTTTATTCTGACATTGGAAATTTTGTCTGCAGCAGTGAAATTGGTTTAAAAGTCATTTAGTGCAAGCCTGGCATAACCCTAATTGGTTAATTGGTTGATTGTAATTGGTCTAATTGGTTAAATCTAATTACTGACCACCTTTGTTTTGTCAAGATGTTTAATCTGGCCCAAACCTGATAAAATCCTCAAACTACCAACACCGCAGACTCTAACACATCTCTGCCACTTAAGCATCTGCTGAAGGGAATTGGAAGCAATGAGTGCCTTCATTCTACAATGGTTGTTCAGTGTGATCAATGTCATTATAAACCAAAAGTGGTTCTGCCATGAATAGCTGAAAAATGACATATTCTCAAAGGGTATGCCTATACATTGTATAGACAATGAAAAGTCAGCCGTTGTTTTTCCGTTTTTGAAAGCTATTGGAAAGACTGGAAATAACCTTTAAGAGAAGGAACAATCGAAAGCTGAAGCAATTTTGAATGGCAAGATAAAAACACTTCCTGCAACAATTGTGAGAGACGACAATGCACATACAGGAAAGGAACTAAGAGAATAAAGAGACGTGAAAGTGCTAGGGAAGAGGATAGGGAGAGAAGAGAGAAGAGAGAAGACAAAAGGGATGGCAAAGACAATCTTTGCAGGTTGCACAGTTAAGGAGTGTGTGTGTGTCTGTGTGTAAGTGCACACATGTGCAGTGGGAAAGAAGGAGGGGGTGTGTTCACTTGGAGACAGCGGGGATGGCTTATTAGGAAATCATCCCTCTTAGCCAATGGTTTTTAAGAGAGAGGCAGATGTCATTTGACTGAAAAGTACCACCTCCCACAGCCAGCACATCCCCTTCAGTGTAACGCAGCGCTGTGTGAGAGCACCACTGTCACTGCTCTCTCCTCTCTGCTCTCTGTGTTTCCCTCTCATTGTCCACAGGCACTTTCTCGCCTTCTCTCTGATTTCTCTCCCTCTCTTTATCTGCGCTCGTGGTGCCTCTCCTCTTCTTGCCCCTCCTCTCCCCTTGCTTTCTTACCCTCCTCTTTCTCTTTCTCTCTGAGTCTGTCCCATAGGCAGAGATAGGATCTGTTACAAACAGCAGCAGCCACGCCAACAGCCCAGGTAAGATCCTCTTTATGATTTATTCACTTTGCACAGATGGGCTATAATACTAAATACAAAAAACCTTATTGCTCGCTCTTCAGTGTGCACAAATTTCTCTACCTTTCTAGTTTCTTCTTGCTCTGTTTTGTCATGATGAATTTGAAGTGGAGATCCGATTGTGTGAAGGGGGACAGTGAGCTAAGTTGTTTCATATCTACCGAGGCACTCAAAGGTTGTTTAATAAGTGCTTTTATTGCTGGAAAGCCGTGACAATGACAGCTTCAGGAATCTGGCTTCACGACAGTGTCACTGAGAGGCGTGTTCAGGACTGTTGAGATAAAATCACAGATAGACATCATACAGAAACAGAGGTGAGGAAAGAGAGATACCGTGGCAGAACAAGACAGATAGGCAAATGGGCTGTCGCTGATCAAAGCCGGTGGTAGGAAGTGAGTTAAGAGTTGCGAGAGCATGAGCTCAGGTGTTCGTTCACAGATCAGCAGGTGACGAGTGGACTCTCTATTGATCTGGGGCTGGCGTCCTACCAGAACTAAGCTGAGGCTAAATCCGGAGAAGCTGATGTGAGAGGCTGCCTCTTTGGTACAATTATGGAGTGTTCAGATGGGACTTCATATACAGCAAAGAAATCCTGCTGGGGGAGTCTATCTGTCTGTTTGGTGCAAGAATAAAGGATATAGGACGGCTGCTTTCATCTACAGAACCTCTGTGTGTCTGAACATGGATGTAAGTTTGAATGGATTTTCTGCTACAGGCTAATTGACACAAATTGTAAATCTGTGTGCATGGACCATTAACTCTTCATGTGCTGGAGAAAAAGGATAATTAGATTCAGTCCATTGCTGCGTGATATAAAGGTTAGGTCAAAGTGGAGGTTATACAGTAATGATACTCGAAGTGTTTGTGAAAAGAGTTCCCTTTCAAACTGCAAGCTTTGAAATGAATATCTTAATTTGCATAACTGAAGTAGCAATTTCTTTTTAGTCTCTGTCATTTAGGAGATGTATAAATGAATTTAAGATTGCCCATGAGCAATGTTCAGCCTTTGAAGTTTAAATAAACATTAGTACAATACAATGTTACATCAGAAATTCAACAGTGAAGCACATTAGTGTCACTTGAATCATGTCTTGTGGTGGGTTTGGCCGCTGTTTGCACTGCCTTAGAATGACTTGGAGGAGCCTGGCAAGAGGGCTTTTACTATAATGATTGATGTAGACATTATTGGTTAGTTGAAAGGTGGTCTTCGCTGATAAGTAATCTCTGAAGTTCATCTTTAGCTAATATTTTCTCGGGGACTGATGCCCTATCGCCCGGGTCTGTGGTGTAAGAATATTCATCACACTGATGAATTTAAATGAAATCTGAAAATAGCTCAGAGCAAAGTTGCGTTAGGTCTCATAAGTAATACAGCGGTGTGCTTATATTTCATTCATGACATAGTTTGCAGCTCGCTCTTGGACTGTGGAGAGAAATGAGAGAAATAGCTTTGTAATGTGAAAAGACATTGGTTGTTGAGGTAAGAGAACATTCAGATGCGCTGCAGTGGAAACACTAAAAGCAGGAGCTGAAGCATCAGCTGCACTTTAATTGTAAGGATCCGCACTGGAAGTTGTTCATTTCAACCATACTGGCCACAGTCAACAACCAGAGAGCCACAGTGTAGCAGTTTTGGAGCATTGATGCCATTTGGTGGGCAGTGCAACCCACACTGCACATAGTACTGCCAAGGAATCCTTAGTATGGGCTTTCTCACGACACACAACTATAGCAATATTAATCACACATTCTTCAATTTCAGCTACACAGCCACCTGCGTGGAGAGATGTAATACTGTTGTAATGGTGTGCGGTATATATACCAGGCATCTGGATTTACATATAAGACAATGTGTTAATGTTATCTGGATCAAAAAGAAGCTGCCTCAGCTGCTCGTCTGACACTGCCTCTGTCATTAACCCAGCACTCAGCCAGAGACCCAGAAAAATATCCACGTTTTGAGGAAATTAGAGTCAGAGAAATGGGGGAAGCTGGTGCCTTTTCAGTCCGCTGAGGGTTCTGCGCTGACAGCTACACTCCGTCTTTTTTTTTTTTTCCAGTTGGTTGTGAGCTGCCCCAGGTGTGACAGGCAGCCGAAGTAATGGGGGACGTTTGACAGATGCATATTTCCAGCCTTGAATGCTTCATATAAAGAAGATAGACGGCATGGATTCAGGCTGAGCGGGGGACAAACTGTTGGGCTGTGAATCACCTCAATGAGTGTGCCGCCTCTCTGTTCGATTGATCTGTCATGTGACTCGCGCGACCCGTCCAAGTTACTAATTGCATCCCACCCTGATTATTGATTGAAATATGAGGGTGGTATATTGGACTCCTGGAGGGAGGCTGTGTGTTGCACCCACCGTGGCTGGTGGTCAAGTTACAGGCAGCGTGACCCCACAAGTATGAGCAATCGATGATTTGATTTCAGAAAACAAACATTTTAAATGCAAAGCATGACTTCTACATGGATGGTTTATGTGGGTTTGGGTGTGTGTGTGTCTGTGTGTGTGTGCGTGCTTATTATATTTCTCCAGCATCATTGGGGATTTGTACTAATGTTGGAGACTTTATGTGATAATTAATCTTTTATAAGCCTATCAGGGCACATAACCAGGAGTCAAGGCCAAGAGATTACATTACAGTTTGTACAGTAGAGCAGAGTGTTTCTTGGCAAATAGGCTTCATCTGGCAGCCAATCTGTTCAGAGAAGAGACGTGGGGGTTGAACTCTCCTGGTTACTATATATTTGTCCCTTGTGGGCTCCTATATGATTTGAAACCGCTGTATAATCTCACTTTACAGATCCATCCGGTGCTGCTACTTATGAGGCATCCATATGCACCAGCTCATTTAATGAAATTAGTATTTAAGTGATTTGATCATGATGTCGCTCTTCATTTTCATTTATTTTGTTAATGCAGTGTATCAAACACTGAAAATATATGACAAAATCATAGCATTTATCCTAATGCAGACTAAAATTTAAATAGGTCAATAAACCAATTAACTGATCAATCAACCAACCAATCAATCAGTCGATATACAATCAAGACTCAGAGGCTGTTTATACGTTGCCAGCTATTTTCATAAACGGACATTTCACCGTCTCCGTTTTCAAAAACATCTTCGTTTACACTTACCCGTGTATATATACACAAGAGCATGCCAAACCTGTAGGTGGCAGTGTAACGAGAAGCTCAAGCTTTCCATGTATCCATTGTCACCATAGCAACATAGGTCGCACTTTTTACACAGGCGCAAGTTCTGGCGCATACTGTGACGTCGGCTGCCTATAACTCTGTTTATCTCTCTTTATCTCAGTTTACATGCAAACGCGCAACTGGAGTTTTCCAAAATCTCCACTCTGGCCGGAGTTTTTAGAAAGACTCCTTTTCAGAGGAGAAATCTCCGTTTGCGTGTAAACAAAGGGCACAAATGAAGGAAGATGTCTCCGTTTATCAAAATCACTGTGTACATGTAAACAGTCTCTAATAGTCTTTACTTTAAGCTAAATACTAATACCACAATGCTAGCACGATGACAGTGCTAACATGCTGATGAAAAACAGGTATAATGTTTTCCATTTTTTATATCTTAGTTTAACATATTAGTATGCTAACATTTGCTAATAAGAACTAAACATAAAGGGGCCGAGGCTGATGGGAATGTCATCAGTAAGCAAGCATTCATAAACTAACGTGTTGGACATATTCAAACTTTGACCTCATGATGGGGTTTGGGGAAAAATCAGCCAAAGTCATTGAGATACATCGCCTGGAAATCATGAATGTCTGGACAAAATTTTGTGCCAACCCATCTGTTAGACATAGGGATATTTTACTGGATGAGTGGAAATTTTTGGATTTAGGATTACCAAATTCAGTAGGATTGATCAGTAGTGTAGTGGAGGGTATACCCTTCTTCTGGCCTTTTACATAATAACCATCTATCAGCCAAAAACCCATTGGAATATATAGGAGAGTATACCCACTTCTTTTTTGGTAACCTGCCCATCTAGGTAGTAGTACACCCACCTTATCAGTTACCACTACACCACTGGGATTAATCATCTGAGGACTATTAGTCTATACCAAGGGTAGGCAACCTGTGCTCTGGAGCCACACATGGCGCTTTATCCCCTTTCCAGTGGCTCCCTGTAGCTTTGACAAAAAATATGTAGAAATCAATAATGATAGGCCTATAAAAATCCTTACATTCTTCATTTGTAAAAAGGTGAAGCCTCTATACCAAATAAAAATAAAAAAGCATTTTAGTATTTCAACTAAAATGTGCGAAATACGTCTACTGCCTTTCCTTGAAATTTTGTCCTACCTCCATAGGAGTGGCTGCAAAGTTAAAGTACCAAATAATCCTATATAGTGCCCTGCAGAGTAGCCACCTTGTGGTAATAAGAAATTAGTGTTCGTTTAGACTATTAGTATTTAGATTTAACAGGCTGTTTTTCCTTCATTAAAAGCCTCAAATATGTTTTGACTTTTTTCAAAAATGGCTGTTGAAGTAGAGGTTGCCGACCCCTGGTCTATACAAAATTTTGTGGCAATCCATCTAGTAGATGTTGAGATAATTCAGTCTGGACCAAAAACATTTACATCCCTAGAGTCATGCTGCTAGCATGGTTTAAACAAATAAACCAACATTAATTATTATGACTTTCAGTTTGCTGGTAATTGCCATATGAGAGAGATGTGTAGTAAGATAAAAGGTATATTTTAAATTGATGAAAGTATGGCTCCTCGAAAACACTTTATTGTCGATTACTGGTCTGACAATATCCTAAAGGAACACTTCACCCACAAACCGACCATTTGTAAATCTATTAGTCATATCATGTTATCTTGAATTTGTGTAGAAAACTTTGTTTTCCTCTCATGTCTCCATGGAAAATGGCAAACATATTTATTTTTTTATTGATCGGGGACTGCATTTAACAACAGCAG